TTAGCCCCACAGTGCAACATTCCCTAAAATGCATATTAAAGTTTCCAAAACGACACCAATTGTCTAGTTGGATTCTAGCTGGTTGAGAATTACCCTTCGGCTGTTTTCACTGAGAAAGTTTAAACACTTGACAAATACAACTCTCTATTAATTGTGCCAATCAATAATAGACTTTAAGTAATTCGCTTGTACTTAATTTTACCTCGTTTATGATAGAGAATGTATATCAATGCATGCAATTATTTATGAGTCAATTTTTTTTTTGCTTTAAAATGTTGACTTTAATTTGTATTCCAAAAGAAATTTTTATTCTTATTCATGTGTCATTTTAAAATCAAAATAATAATAATTATTATTATTTATTCAATTATATATTTATTTAATTCTTAATTATTTTATACACTTATTATTATTTATTCAATATATAGGATTTGGACAACATGCAAAAAAACACAACTCTTTAATTAAAATAAAAGAATTAGATTAAAAAACTACAAATAAAAATATCACATATATTCAATATCGTAATTACTTCTATCATTATTGTTGTCACTATTATCATCGCAATTGTTAATGTCGTCATTATCATCGTCGCCACTATCACTAATGTGATCATTATTATTATTGTTGTTGTCACACTACTACCATTATCACTAACCACTATTGTCGTCACAACAACCATCGTCGTTGTTGCTGCACCACTAATATTGTTGTTGCAACACCACCACAACACAACCACCATTATTATAGCACCACAATCATTATTGTCACACCATCGTTGTTGTCACCTTCATTACTAGCAATGGTGGTAGTAGTGATATCGATAATAATAATAGTAGTGACTATAATAATAGTGATAGTGATTGTGGAGGTGGTAGTGGTAACAAAGATAATGATTAATTATCATGTGTCGTTATTATCGTAATTGTTTGTATCATTATTAACAACAACAATAGTAATGGTAGGGTTAAACTTTGTAATAATTCATAAAATTGACTAACGCATTAATAACTTTTAATTTAGCGGTTAAATCACAAAAAATTTAATGTAGGACACAAGTTATTAAAGATTTTGTTGACAAAATTGTCTCACTTATGTTGTTATTACACCACACTTTTAATCGAGTGAAATGAAATATATATATATATATAAGGGATTCATTTACTCTAGGAATAAGTCTACCTAGACTTATTCCGTTTAATAATTTATTTTATATTAACTTTCAATGATCCAACCATTGAATTTAAAATTCTAATCAAACATGCAAATTTCTAGAAAAATTTAAAAATTATTTGATATTTTATTTCATTAATTCAATTCAACATATAAAATATTTTATAATTATCCGTTAATTTAAATTAATGAAATGAATGATTTTTAAATTTCTTAAAATATTTACAAACTTGAGATTTATATATTAAAAACTTTAAATTCAATAATTATATCGTCGAAAATTTATGTAAAAAATAAGTTATTTAATAGAATAAATTTAAATAAACTCATTCCTTAAATAAATGGATCCCTTATTTTATATATATATATCCACCATTCACTATATGTATTAAATTAGTATAGTAATATTGAACCAAATTACTTTTAGGCATCACTCCTTGATATAATAGTGGGTTAAAAAAAATAACCTATCTTGCTTAAATGTAGATTGGTAATCAAATTGAATTTTAAATAATGGATTGATTCGTCAACAAAAGTGAATTGAAAAAATAATTCATGAAAATTGATAGATTAACACACTATAATGTATTAATGAGGATATAATATATTAGTGAAAAATAAAATGATTTTAAACTTTTCATAACCTGTCAAATATTATAAACATGTACGATTAATGGTATATTCATTTACTTTTTTAAATGATTTCTAATATGTGTTAATGTTTCTTTTTACCCCACTCAGGCACTCACCATGTTTTCTTGTCCTATGACCATTTCTAACAAAAATAAGTCATAAGATTAAAGTAAGGTTCAATCTTTTATTATATAGTCTAATAATATCATTATTATGTAAAGAAATATATGTTATAATATATTGAGTTAAAACTTGGATATTCAAAAGACATGTTTCAATATGTCAGGTTGATAGACCGCAAGATGATTTAGTGGAGTTATCTAACTCATTCTATTAATTTTAAAAAGATAATGTAACGTTTTCAATCAATGAGAGCAAGTTGATGTGTGACATGTGGCTGAATTTAAGTTTTTTCACTCCTAATTTAACTAATGCATGTAATCAATAAAAATAATTGAGCCACTGGATAATGTCATTAATTTTCACTAGTGTGTAATGAAAGAAACAAGACACAAAAATATTATAATAAAATTCTATCTTACTTTTGTACTTGTACCTCTGATAAGAGAAGATTTGTCGTATTGGTAACATTAAAGGAACCAAGTTCTTTAGATATCTCTAGATCAACCATCTCTTGATTGAGTTCATCTCAATGTCTGTCCATCACCGTTACTTTATTCTGATTTTTCAATGTCGGAAAAGCAAATAAGTAATGAATAATATTGTACTTTAGGGTCTATAAAATTATCACACCCACTTGTTTTTGTGATTCAAATTTTGTATCTATTCATTGTCCCAAAAATGAAATGAATTATGTGAGTTTCACTTTTACACGCTTTTATCATAACATACCAAAAGAAAAGAAAAACTTAGTCACTGTCCAGAAGTTAAAAGAATGATGAATAAATGGACTTATGTTGTTATGCATACCCAAAGTAAATGTAATTATGATGAACACTGGCACCGTAATTGAGATAAGGTTGTGCCATAAATTAATCACTTTACAAATAACACCCAGTAAATATAGGTAAAATAAATAAACTTAGCATTATCTCTTCAATAAAAAATCTATCACGTTTGCTTTTTTCTTCATTTTATATAATTAATTATTTAAAATATTTTAATAAGATATAAGAAATATTTAAAAAATTAAAATAAAATCATCTTTTTTCATCAAATATGTGTGAGTATAATTAATATACATAAATGTGCATGATTTACCTTTTTCCATTATTTATTTTATTTTATTTTAAAATTTAAATTTTAATAATAATAAAATAAATTATTTTTGTTATATAAATTAAAAAAAACTTGCACACATATTTAAAAATAGATTTATTAAATTATTTAAAATTAAATTTATTAATAATAATAATTATTATTTTTTAAAAATACTCTTTCATATATTTTTTTTCCTAAATATACTATTAGATAAAATGATTATTCATGTTTTATATATATAAATGATTTATAAAAAAAACTTGATCTTTATATTTAAAGAGAAATTTAAGCTTACCTATTTTCCTCTCTATTTACATAAATAATATTCAAGCTGAGATCGACACCTGTTCCGTACTCCTAGTTAATAAAACAAAATATTATTTGAGATATGGATAAAGTCTTGATACATTCTTATTTAAAAGGATAAGAACAATGAAAATTAAACTCTAAATCATGTTCTTAGTCTGAATAAATGTTAAATTTTAGCGTAACATTTCACATGTGATTCCAAATAAGGATCGAATGACGTGTGAACCGAATGAAACGTACTTGACCATGTCTTGTATTATTTTATTATAAAATTATATTAAACCTATAATAGATGTCTAGATTTTTTAATTTTGACGGTGAAAAGGTACGACATGGGAAGTTGGAAATTGGAAATTGAAATTAGGTTGGAAGGAATCTTCGAAGGCATGTAAAAGGTAGGCTATTACTTCCATGTCTAGTGTATTCAGTATTCACCTTCCTTTCTTTTAGATTTTTTTTTAAATTTTTTATTTATTTTTATTTAAAATTTTCAAAAGAAAACCAAAATGATGTACAAAAGGAACCAAAACTATTTAAATTTACTCTTTTCATAGATCATATCAAGTACTAAAAAAATATAAAAATAAGATAAAAATATCTACTATTGACAAAAAAATTCAACAGTATATCCCATAAATAATTCTTATATTTGATAAGCATGTTATAAAAATTAAATTATAAAAAAGTATTTTTCACTTATAATAGGCATTTTATTCATTTCTAAATTGTAAAGAGAGCATGAAAATTAGTTATTGCAATATAATATGTATACACAATATTTATTTATTAGATAAGTTATTAAAATATTTTTATTAATTAATTTGTACCACAATTATAGCCATTTTTTTAATATTTCATATAAGTTAAAATAAAATGCATTTGCATTTATACACCGAGAGAAAATATTAAATATAATGTATACATTTAATGAAATACATACGTCCTATTAATAATAATATTAAATTTTATTAATTGTATGTGTAAATGCATTTTATAATGGATGTGCATATTACTAAAAAAAAAAAAAGAGTTACGCAGCAAGCGTATGAAATAATTTTATATTTCATTTAATATCAATTTATTATATATAATGAATATGTTAGCATCTATAATTATTATTTTTTAAATTTATAATAATACTGATCTTTTAATTATTCGTGTAATTTTTTTATTCAACTAAACTTCAACTTAAATTATTATTAACATAAAAAAATATTTTGTCCCTCTATAAATTAATTTTAAAAATAATAAATAATAAAAAAATATATTAAATAAGTGATTATTATAAATATAAATAATTATTTATGAAGTAGATGATTACTTATGAGTTATGATGTCAAAAAAGTTTGAGGAATATATTAGAAATAGTTATAAAAAAAATGAAATAATTTAAAAAAATATATATACGTAAAAAGACATCATTTTTATTATAGTTATTAATATTTAAAATATATCTTGTATTTTTATAAATTATTATTTTAAAAATAATAAGTAATAAAATTATACTATAATAAGTAATTATTAAAATTACATGTGGTTATAGGATAAAATTTATTAAAAAAATATATAAAATTTACAATTTATAAAAGGATAGTTATGAAGCTAAAATTGTTCATATAGATAAATTATTATTATTATTATTATTCATAGGAATCCTTGTTTTGCTGATTGTTGTCTGAACCAATTTTACTTCTTTAAGCTGCACAAGCAAAAGTTTCCCACAAGCCTCTTTCTCTTCTTCCCAAACACCTCTCTCTCTCTCTCTCTCTATTCCTGAAAAGCAAGTAATTAAGAGAAAGAAAACACCAAACACAGACGCAAGCAACATGTCTTCTCCAAGCAAACGCAGAGAGATGGACTTGATGAAACTGTAATTTTCATTTTTTTTTTTTACTTTTATTTTCATTAAAGTTATAATCTTTTTCTGATTGGGTGACCAAGTTTGATTCTGGATTTTGATTTTGGGTTTTTCCCCCTTTCAATTAATAGGATGATGAGTGACTACAAAGTGGAGATGATTAACGATGGAATGCAAGAGTTTTATGTGCATTTCCATGGACCCAAAGAGAGTAATTTTCCTTTGCTACATCTTTATTACTTGTTTTGGTGTTCTTTCTGAAATGTTTTGGGTGAAAAAAGATGCATATGTGATGATTAACCATATATTGACTTTGGTGGCTCTAGATTTAGATTTGGGTGGCAACAATAAGATTCTCATATGGAACTCGTAATCTTTAGTTTCATTTTAATTCTTGTTACCTGTATTGATTGCTCTCTGCGTACTCTGCAGTTATTGCATGGAGTAATTTCTGTTTGTGGAAAACTAATTAATATGATACTAATTTTTAGCCAGACAAGATTGGCATGAGTTTTTAATTTTAATTGGTTTTTTGTTATGAGGAATTTATGTACCATGGCAGTTGCTGATTTTCAGTTTTGTTTATTGTTCTTTCCTTGATTTTATTCTTTTAGATATTGAACTTAGATCAAGTGTTTGGTTTGGGAAAGATGAAGTTACTGTATTATAGACTTTATAATTTTTTTTAATCTTCTTTTTCATCCTTGTGATGCTCCTTGCAGGTCCCTATCATGGAGGTGTGTGGAAAGTAAGAGTTGAGTTGCCAGATGCTTATCCTTATAAGTCTCCTTCCATAGGCTTTATCAATAAGATCTATCACCCAAATGTTGATGAGATGTAATCTTGTATTATTGCTTTGAAACTCTATATCTTTAGTAGTTTGCTTTGTGTTAATTTTAAGAATAGTTAAGTGTGTGATTATATTGAATTATAATAATTTCAGGTCAGGATCAGTTTGTCTTGATGTCATCAATCAAACCTGGAGTCCCATGTTTGGTAATGTTCTTTCTTTAAACTTCTTAGAAAATATTTGGTGTTTTAAGTTTTTCATTTAGAAAATTTTTGGTCCATTGTCATATGTTTAAATATATGCATTGTTTCAGATCTGGTCAATGTGTTTGAGGTGTTTCTACCACAACTTCTCTTGTACCCCAATCCCTCGGACCCCTTGAATGGAGAAGCTGCAGCTTTAATGATGCGTGATCGAGCCACTTATGAACAAAGGGTTAAAGGTATTGATCCAATTTAAGATTTCATTTTCTGAATATACATAGGGCATTTGATGCCCTTGTCCTGTGGCCAGTACCACAGGCTTGCTATGTTTATTTGAGGCCCGTATCTTGTTATTCCCTGTTTGTGCTACAATTAAGCTTTGAAGACCTAAGGGTAGTGGTTATGGACTACAATGGAGTGCACATTCACCAACATTCTTACAAACTGTTGTGACAACTTACTGCTAATTCTTAAGCTCCTACTGTTATCCAATTACTAACAGAAAAATAAAATAAAATTGTTTTCTTCTTCTGTCAACTTGTTCGTAAATTTGACTATTTAAAGTTTTCATCTGCCTACGAAGTTGATTTTGTTGCCATCTCTATTCTCTACCACCATTTTGACACTTTTTTCTCTGATGCCATTCTGTGGTGCATTTGGGTATATACGTGCAGAAGACAAGCTGTGTTAAATTTACTTGTGAAAGAGGAGAGATTACCTTTATTTATGTTATATACCGTAATCACAAGCAATGAAAAGATGGTATCTGATTTCGAACCTGGCTAGGAGCCCCCCTAGCTGTTATTTATCATTATATATCACTAAAGAAATAAATCTTCCATCGTGTTTGTTGATGGCAATAATTTGCATATCAACATTTAATTATGAGGTGTCATCATGTCATCCTGCATCATTTCGTTCTGCCAATGTGTCCTATATATATCAATATGTGAGTCTAGATGTCTTAGAATGTGTTGTTGGTCTAATTCAATCTTATAAAACTAGCCTATAAGATGAGGTTTGCCCTCGCTCATGTACTTTTTGTTTAGTTTATTTTTAGTTAATTTGAAGATGAAAACTCAATGTTTATTATTCACATCTACCAATTGTCAACTCAATTTCATACCTTACTTGTCCTTAGTAACAGTTTTATTTCTTCATTCTTAGTCAGTCTTCTGTATCATGTAAAGTTTCAACAGAGGCAATCATGTGCCTCTTGCTATGTGTATCATTAACAAACATATAACTAGTATGGAAGTTTGGAATTACCCGTCCTTATTGACTTGTATGAAATCTAACTTAGAAAGTGTCACTTTGATTTGTTTATCTAAGCTTGAATTGTTGGACGACCAATTTCTATATAATTTTCAGGGGCATTAATTTCTTAACGTAACATGAGTTTTTTACTCCAATTTTCAGAGTACTGTGAGAAGTATGCTAAACCTGAGGACATAGGAGCTGCCACGGAAGAGAAATCCAGTGATGAGGAGTTAAGTGAAGATGAATATGATTCTAGTGATGAACAAGTTGCTGGTAAGGCAGACCCCTAGCCTTGCATGTCTTTTTCTATCTTACCTGTACATGATGTTCTAGTCATGTTAATTCACCTCATTTGATGTAATGTACTTGGTTGTGTACTGGGGAAAATTCTCCTTCCTGTTAGTTTACTCTGTCACTGTAAATAATGTGCCATGCAATGTTATTTATTCTTAATTACCTTCAACTAAATGGATTAACTGATTGTTTTACTACACATTAAAATCAATTTCTTGTATCATGAAATATGATCCAATGCAAGATCTATGGTTCATACATCAATTATGTTTTAACTGTTCAAAATTAATTCTATCAAAATAAAATCTACTCAACTTTGAAACAAACGGATCCTAACTTGTTAACATAATAATAAGGTAATATATATTGGAATAAGACATGCTTATTCCTGATAAGCATAGTTTTAAAAATCGGACCGGTCATCGAACCGGTTAAGGTTAAGGTACTGGGTCAAAGGTTGAATCGGTGGGTCACTAGTTGAACCGCATGACTCGATTTTTATTTATTTTTATTAAAAAAATATTCATATTAAATATATTTTATATTTATAAATTTTAATAAATTCATATCTTATTTTAAATTTTAATTTTTCTATCTTATTTTAAATTATTTTTATTTTTATTTTGTAAAAAAATACATAAAAAAATTACATGTTAAACGGTATATTAAAAATACAATATCCAGATTATATATCTAATATTTATATAGATATTATATTATTAAATATATAATTTAAAATTAATAATATACTATAAAAGTTATTTAAGTTGTATATATTACAAACAAATATATTAAAACAAGTAGTTATTCTTATATTTAATAAGAGATTCAATTTTCATTATTATTTTTGTGGTTTATGGTTCCTTAAAAAATTTAAATAAAAAAAAAAGGTGGTTGAACCGGTTTGACCCACGGTTTACCAGTTGAACCGGAAAATTGACCGGTTTAATCCAGTTTAAAACGGGTCGACTGCATAACCGATCCAATTTAAGATTCGGACCGGCTGGACCAGCCGAGTCGGTCCGGGTTTTAAATCACTGCTGATAAGTTCGGCTTTTTAAAAAAAAAAAAGAAGGATAAATAAACAATTCATGGATTTGGTTTCATTCACCGCAGTCCAGAACTTATCCAAAAAAAGTTTGGTCGCAATTGGTTTGTTGAATTGATTTTTGAAAGAACAAAGAATGAAAAAGGGATGAAACTATTATTCTTTTCAACTATGGTATAATAATTAATACTGCGATCGATGAATATTCTATTCTATATTATGTTCCTAGAATTAAGGCAAGAATGGAAAGTCCTTTTCTGATTAGAGAAAGAATAGAAAGTTAAAAAGATGCTACTTAAATCGTATAATGGTAATTAAAATTACAATACAGAGTGGAATCAATTCCTTCCACTTAAGAATGAATGGCCAATTTTTCATGATGAGATGGACATTGGGCATTTCTTTTCTGAAAGTAGTAATGTTTTTAAATTAATTTTACTACCGTTTCCAAGTTCCAAATAACCGAGGCATTACTTGTTAGGTATTTTGCATGTATTTTAAAAATCTTAAAGAGAACAAATTTCACATAACTTGTTCTTGGGTAAGAACTAAGAAGTATTAAAAATGACTATTTTTAATTTTAAATTAATGTCTTCGACGAATCTCACTTGATATGACATTACAATTTTTCTTTTGTAAAGTATTGTTCCTCTTCCTCGCATTTCATTTAAAACGCTTTCTATTTTCTTTCCTTGGGTTAACAATTTTGTTCTATGCTGTTTTATACAACTAGGAATATTTCAAAAGAGCCAATTAAATATCAACAAATTCTTGTATTATTAAATTTATTTGTATAGCAAATTATTCTTTAAAGACAATGTCTCAGGGGACCTACATGAAAATAATGAAACTATAGGCCATAAAATCAAACTATTATTTGAATTTTTTTTCCAAACAAGTTTAGAAGGTAGGAATATAAATAAACCACAAATATGTAATGTAAATGTTACAAACTGCAAGCTTTTCTGAAAATTATGTGATTTATAAGGCTGAGAAAATTTTATTTTAATAAAATGTAAGATATCAAAAGTCAAATATGGATCAAATTAGTTTTTATGGTACCGGGATAATGGACCAGGGTTATACTTATATAGTCATCCTTTTTCTAAAATTAGTAAGATTTTTATTTAATTTTTCAATGAAATAGAAGTTAACAATATTTTTTTATGTCCCTAAACCATATTGTTATGTTTTTATAGTTTTTGATTGTCTTGAAAAAAATTTATACTCCCAACGAAGTGAAAAAATAATGTCTTTATAATTATTTAAATATTATTTATGATGTCAATTTTCATACTTAAAAGTGTAAAATACAAAAATAATTAACACATACAATTGCTAAAAAAAATCAAACATATAATATAGTCATACGAGATTATGAGTTATTCTCATATATTATTACACATTAAAAAAATGAATTAATAAAAGTGATTCATTATTCAGAAGTCCACAATAAATAGGTCAAAATTTGATTGGGAGATTTTAACAAAATAAGAAAGGTCATAGTTTGAAAAATAGAAAAAGAATTAAAGAGATGGGTGAGTCTGCAAAATAAATGTGTATATCTCTTTCCAACACATAGATTTGAGAGAATCTAAATCCCTTGAATCCGGTGATGAAAACGATTATTCCCTGAAAAAGCATAACAATGACAAAGAATTCAAAGAAAGACTGTGTAGTTGATGATAATGGTGTAATAATGTGTACAAGAAATTTTATTAGAGACTCGTAAACCATTGTGATGTGATTTCTGAACCGATTACAAAAGCTAACGCTGTTTAACTATGAGTTGGTGAGTGCTTTTGTGCCAAATTGTGAGGTGCTAGCTAGTAGTAGCCAATGTCATTATTGAGGAAAAAGACAAATGAAAAAGAGGTTATGCTATTGCTATGTGGACCCAGAGGAGAAAGAATTATAAAATGATGAAAATAACTTCTTCTTTTTCCTCCAAACAATGATTTCACAAACGGGATTTCCAGCTATGGAGGTAAATGTAAATGAATAATGCTACAAATATTTTTATAAAAAAAATGTACAACAAATTATATAACATTAATTTTGTATTTATCTCTTTCTGTTAATTTATTTATTATGAAGATATGTAAATTAAATAATAAAGAGAGATAGATAAAAAAGAATGATGTTATACAAGTTATTCTACAATTTTTATAATACGTGTAATATTACACAATGTAAATATAATAATGAACCGTGAATCATATATTTCTTGAGTTTAATAAATGGAGACCTAACTAGTACTCCAACCAAAGCTAGGCCTAGGATTAAGACAAAGTGAGTTACGTTCACGGTTCACCTAATTTCTTCATTCAAATTGGAAAAGTCTTTTTATCACAAAAACAAGGGAATTTCACTTTTCATTGTACCAATATTTCAATTTTTGGCAAATGAATGCTGTAGATATCCACCTCTTTAGATTTAACAATTTGTCATTCGATATTTTTACATATAACCGTCTCTTAATTTATATAACACAACCTTGTATACTTTCCATGAATTCTTATACATTTATATATTTAAGAAGTCAAAATAATATTAAAGAAAAGGACGGGATGGGAGGGAGTAGCATTTCATTGCGTGTATATTTAATTTGCCCAAAGGTCAATATCCTGTTCAAATAAGTATGGAATTTTCCAATGGAAATAACAATCAATTTCAGATCTTCCAAAAATACAATATCCAGATTAAATACACGAATAACAAGTCAGCGTTCTTTACTATTTCTTCCGTTTTTTTTTTTTCATAGTAGTTTTGTTAGAATTTATTATTTTCTTTTTATTATCATATTACTAAAATTAATGAGTTATTAATTTTTTTCTTCTATTTTTATTTTTGATAATTAATACATGTTTCTTGAACAATGTGTATATTTATTTTTAATGTCTACCTAATTTTTCTCTAACTATTCATATAAAGTTAATTTGCATTCATAAGAGCAATATGTTCCTAACAAAATACTATAAAAAAACAAAAAAAAATGGACAACTATTTAATGAAGTAGTTCAACAGTCTAAAAAATACAAAAAAAAAAAAAATAAAAGGTAAAATTAGAAAGTAAGTAATAAACATTTTTAAAAATTAAAATATCAATAATTTCCTTAAATCTCGTGCAAAACCTTGAACAACCATGAAAAAAAAAAAATGGAAGGATTATTATTTTACCTGGCACATATTGTTCTTTTCCATTTATTTTCATTCTTTTGACACGAGAAAAGGTTAATTATATAAGATGATTTTGGAAGGAGAATTGCCACCTTGAGAAACAGGACCTACCAGAGATGCAACTTTTATGGACTTAACATGAAGCAAGGGATTACTATACAATAGTTTCAGATGTCGTCTACAGAAAGCTTTAATAGCTGCAAGATGCAGATATCCAAACAAAAAATTGGAGAACCGTAAAATACACTTTTTAAGGCCTAATTCTATATTAACAGTATGGGAGTAAAATCTATGAAGGGCCACTAAAACTCTTCCTGAACTAGCAGCAATATGTCCATTATATACCATCCTTGACAAACCCTATGCATGGCTTGGTCTTCTCTTTCCAGAATCTGTTCTTAGCCTCTTTACAGGTTTTGCCCAGCCAAGTGACCCATTTGAGTGTTGAGATGGCTGACCAACCCATCCTTGTGAATGGGAACCCCCCTGTTGAGTTAATCTAGCATCCTTGGAGACTGAACCTGGCCCTGGACTTCTCATCCTAGAAGGTGAAACTGAAACAGGACCAGTCTTAGGCTTCCCTAAAGACTTATCCCTCTCATTTCTTCTCTTCTTGCACACAACCAGTTCACCTGGATGAGCACGCAGTGGCAAATCACCCTGCTGAAGTTGCTCCTTGGTGCTGCTGCCACCACCACTTCCAGTCCTTGATTCCCTCTGTGGCAAATGAGCTTTAATTCTGGTGTTTTCACCACTAGAAGCTGATCCGCGTTGCAGTGACCTCTGTGAAGGGTGTGAATCGGTTTCCATCTCATTTATCAGCCTGTGCCTCTTGCTTTGGCCGACAGCCGCCTGCCTTGGGGATGTTACTGTACTGGCGGCAGCAACTTGACTGGAGAAAGAAAGTGCACTTCTTGCATCCCGGAAGTCGGTGTCAGGAAACGCAATTTTCAAGATATCAAAAAA